CTCACCGTTACCATCACCGCCTAAACTTCCACAACCACCGCTTGCACCGCCATCTCACCATTGCCACCATCTCACCATCACCGCTAGCACCACCATCACCACACACATCGTTGCTACATCCCATCCCATCCCACAACCACAACCACAACCACAACCATAACCATAATACACCACTACCATCATCTGCACTTTCAATACAATACAAATCAACCCCCAACTCCAGATAGCGCGAAATTTAAAAAAGAGAGACGAGAAAACCCGATTTTTGTTACTTCTAGAGAAGGTGATCGGAGACGCTGCTTTGGAGAAGGTGATAGCAGCTGCACGCAGCTCACCGCTACAACTCCACTATATTGTGTGCCAGTGTGTGTGAGAGAGGGTGGTGGTTGGGTGGGTATGTTGAATTGGGTGAGATTTTTAGGCTTTGGGGTTTGGGTGGTATGGTTGTTAGTTGAGGGATTGATATTTAATAAGATATGTTTTTAAATTAAAAATAATAATTTAACCTGATTTGTCGAAAAAAATAGTTATAACTCTGAAATTGATGCAGGTGTGTGTGTAATTTTCACTTGTTTGGTTTTAGTCATTTCACCATCCTAAAAAGGATGTGAAGATAAATTATAACTCGAGGTGGGAACTAAATAAATTGCTCTTCTTTCGAGGATTGAGAAGACGAGAACTGTGTGAATTGTAAGAGATGTGAGTTTGTTTGTTCAATAAATTTTTGTTGCTATCAATTTTGATAGTCCTTGAGATGGTACACAGAAAATTTGATGTGAATTATTTGATACATATCGATTTACATGTTTATACTTTATATTTGTATAATAAGTTTGACTTTCTTTTCGTAGTTCTCTCATCAAATATTACTTCTTTTATAATACTGAATGTCATTTCGCTTTTTTCCCTCTTCATTTCAATTATGTGAGATCAACTAGAGAAATGATCAATCAGCACAAGTTCTTACTCGTACTTATGGTTAGTTTTTGGAAAGTAGATTATTTTATTTTTTTTTAACGAGTTTAGATGTTAAAATTAGGGATAATTACAGTAGCAGTACCAAACATTTCATTTAATTGCAGATTTTGCTCAGACCTTTAATTTGTGCCACCTGCGATACCAAACATTTTCAAAATGTTGCAGCTGAAGTCTAAATGGATGGTTTCTGTTAGATTGACAGTTAGTTGACCAAATAATTGACTTTGACAAAAAATTTGACTAATTTTAAAATTTTAAAATGGTAACTTTACGTTATTTATAATAAAATAACTAAAATAAAATAATTAAAATTTAAAATAAAAAAATCAACTTCATCTTCTCCATCCATTTGGATTTCAGCTATGACATTTTGAAAATGTTTGGTAATGTGAGTGATACAAATGAAATGTTTGGCACCGTGTGTGGCACAAATTAAAGATTTGGATAAAGTCTGCAATTAAATAAAATATTTTGTACCGCTGCTACAATTATCCCTTAAAAAATTATTTCAATAAAGTCATCAGAAGTTTTTTTTTTCTTTACTGGAAAGGACTAACTTGTTACTTTTCTTTAGTGATGGCAATGGGACGGGACGGGACGGGATCCCCTCCCCTCCCCAGCCCCGCCTTGCCTTAGACAGGGCAGGGGTGAGGGCGCGAACCTGGCCCCTTTTTTGCCCCGTTTGTTTTTTTTTTTTTAATTTTCAATTAAAATACAAATTTTAAATTTTAAAATTCAAAATAAATAATGTTCAAATTAATTACATCAATATTCAAAGCAAACACTCGAAATAAAAAATGTCCAAAAAATAAATAATGTCTAAAACATATTTTTTTTTAAATTCTTTACGGGGTGGGTTCGATGCGAGGCATCCCTGCCCCGAGACCCGAGACGGGGGGCGAACTTCGCCCCTCCCCGCCAACCCGTTTGGGGAGGGGCCCCGAGGGAACGGGAAGGGCCGAACGGGGAAAATTGCCATCTCTACTTTTCTTTATAGCTATAGTCATGCCACTTTTTCTCATAGCATGAAGAGGATCTATTGGTCACTTCTATATAATTACATGATCAATTTAGTCATATTATTCTATCCAATACTATTTATCCATTATTTCTCCGAGCTAGCCTGCCGGGCATTCCTCGTAATAGCTGCAGGTCTACAGTAACTGAACTCGGCTCACGTAGATTTTGTTTTCAGATTTTTCATTTGTTTTCCTTAAAAATATTAAAAAATAATAATAATAAAAACAAATCGTCCGGCATGTCCCTCAAATGTTGACACTAATAATTTCTAATGTTCGTAATGCACATGCCTTTTGGCCTCTCTCATAATATAGATTCTTTTTCGATCATCTAAGTGCATGAATCACGATAATTAAGTCTAATTTTCATACTAATATTCTTTTATTTACTTTAATGTCTCGTGTAAATGTAATTATAAATTTATAATAATTCATACTAAAGTACATAACAAGAATAAAAAATCAGTTTAACAAACATCCGTCAGCTTTATATTGGTTATAATTGTCGGTGCTAAAAGCCACCGTTTCGTGGAGACAATGCACGTAGTATGTACAAGGTTTTACCTAATTGGAACGTAATATTAAAATGGAAACTTGGAGTTTTGGCATAGTTCTTACTTTTAAAATCTTTTATTGCCATTCTTTCAGAAAAAAATAAAAATAATAAATCTTTACTAAGGCTATCTTTTAAGTTTATGAGAAATTTCAATTTGATCATCAAAGTAATTTATTTACTCAATATATGGTTGGAATGATTTGCATTTTTAAAAAAGTTTAGGAGCAGATTGCAATTTATTCTTTATTTTATTATTTTTTTTGTTTTATTTATATAAGAGGATATAATAGTCATTTTATGTTAAAAATTGGTGAAAATGACGTTTTGCGCAAGAAAATGCAAAGGTAGGGACGTTCAGCACCAAAAAATCAAACGTAGGGACGTTTTCCACACAACTCGTCATAGGTAGGGACGTTTTGCACCAATTAAACGTTCCTCGCAACAAAATGTGAAAGGTAGGGACATTCTGAGCCAAAAAACTGAAGATATAGACGTTTTTCACAAAAATCGTCAAATGTATAGACGTTTTGCTCCAATTACCCTTATTTTTGTGTAATCGAGTGATCATCTATGAAAACATTGTAAACTTCAATAACAAATGAAATTAAAAAAAAAAAAAAATACTTTAATAACCAATTTAAAATCTCTTACAAAGTTCATTGGTGAAACTAAAGGTTCGTTTGGTTTATGTTTCACTTTTCAGTTTTAAGTTCATTTTCAATTTTTTGTTCTGAAAATTTATTTAATTTGTTATTTTAAAAAAATTATTTTTCAAAATAGAAAAATAGAAAACACGTTTGGTTACAATATTTTTTTCGCTACAAAAATAAAATAAAAAATAAATTAAGTTTAGAAAAAAATTAATGATGTGAATTGAAAATATTTTTATCTATGTTCATTTAAATATTTTTTAGAACTTTTATGTAAATATTCATTAAGAGCTTTTATTATTTATTATTTTTTATAATTGTTTTCTTGAAATTTTTGTAAAATTTTTTATTTTTTATTTTTAAAATTTAAAAATTTTATTAGAATTTTATATTTTTATTCTTTAAAATTTTATTTAAACGCTTGCTTTCTATATTTTTAGTATTTTCAGAAGTTTCAATGAAAACATTCAAAACGTTAAAAATGCATTTTGAATTTGATGTTATAAATTTAACCTTATTTTTAAAAATGCATTTTCAAAAATATCGCACCAAATGCGTTTCAATATTTTGTAAAACTGAAAATAACAAATCAAATGCACTCTAACTCTTTCACTCTATCTATTCTGGAACTTGAGATTATACCTATTAGATATGACATATCTAAGTGTACATCGATAAGATTACATTAGTTGACAATGATTGTGTCACATGTACATAATGATTGAATTAAAATTTTTTCAACCAAATAAAAAAAAAAAAAAAACTTCTCCTCTTTTTTTACACATCATTTAAATGTAAACCATTATATAACAAGGTTCTTTTTACTTTTCATTCACGAGATATACTTTCAGTAGTACGGAGCCGCTCGATTTTGTAAATAATTATATATGCTGGAATAATTTAAGAATTCAACATGCTTCCCGCAGGATCAAAGAAAACGAGATCGAATTAAATTCAATACTTTATATTAATCAAAAAAGCTGTGTATTATTATTAATCATATAATACATTAAAAAAAAAAAAAAAAAAACTGCAATGTGCACTGAATCTTGTTCACTTCAATTTTCACACTTCCTCAATTTTTTACAATAGGGTGAATTAGTTTGTGGAATAGTTCACAAAACACACACACACACACACACACACACACAACATTGCCTTGTGAAATTTTTGGTATGGTTTAGAAATCCCAATAGTTAATCTTAGGTGCTGTTCGTGGACAACTTGATGCCATGTTAAGCACGTTGAGCTCAACATAATTTATAATTAAGAATATTTATTGTGTTCACTCTATCGTATCAAACATATGACTAGAAGCTGCGACTTATATTAGAGTACGTGCATAGAGAAAACCAATATTGCAATGTCTACACATTAAGCAAACANTAAAGGGCTATCAAACATGCCCTAAGTTCCAAATGCTAAGATCACTATTCGTGGACAACTTGATGCCATGTTAAGCACGTTGAGCTCAACATAATTTATAGTTAAGAATATTTATTGTGTTCACTCTATCGTATCAAACATATGACTAGAAGCTGCGACTTATATTAGAGTACGTGCATAGAGAAAACCAATATTGCAATGTCTACACATTAAGCAAACATAATTCATTTATGCAAACAAGATAGGGAAAGTTTTTTTTTTTCATTTAAGAAGGAGGAAGAAAACGAACAAAAAATATTACAAGAATTTAAAGGAAACATAAAGATATTAATTTACTAAAATAAGAAATTTGCTTGAATTTCCGAAATACTAAAACTAGAAAAACTTCCACAACCAGGTGATCACTCGAATTTAAGAATGTCTTGGAACCTGAAAACAAATTATAGAAAATTAGCAGCCAATTTGGTGTGGTCCTCAAACCATTTGTTAAATGCAATAGAACCCTTTTCCGCAGTATCTCTAGACTCAGATATTATTTTTTCTGTCAAAATCTTAGGGTCTGATCTCTTTACCATTTTCAAACCGTTTTCTATTTTCAATTTTTTCAAAACAGTGAAAATGCGTTCTCTTTTCTATTTTTGAAAACGCGTTTTTTAAAATAAATTAAAAATTTACAAAGAAAATCCAAAATGACGGGTGCTTTCAGTTATAATTAAATCAAAATACGTTTTGGGTGTTTTCAAAATACTAAAAAGAACACATTTTCAACAATCTCAAAATGGACACTCAAAACACAAAATTGAAACACAAAGAGAACAATCCCTTAACAATTCAATAACATTGTTTTCTGTCCTATTTTCCCAAAAAAAAAAAAAAATGGCACAAAAACGGCCATAATTTATGGGGTGCTCAAATTCTGAGAGATGGATTTCTTGAAAATTTAAAGTTCTTACTTTACAATTAAAGAGGTTGTATATAAAGATTTCCTTAGAAAAAGTACAGTTTGATGATTATGGTAGTGATTTCCGAGGTACAATTTCTATAATTTGGTTTAAATTACTTACCAGGAAATAGCTTTCACCATGCTGCAAACTCTGTATCAGAAATCCATATTCATTGACTTGAACTGGTGCGCCTGACGAATGAAACAACATGAAATCTTGTCCAAACATTGCTTTCATGTCCAGTGGCCCTCTTGGTATTTCTGTAGCAACTCCATTGATATAAACTGTTATCAATCCTGAAGAGTCAAAATTAAGAGAGAATTCTGTCAAATTATCAAAAAAATCCAGAGTTATTTTTTGGGTTTTTAAAATTACATGCATTTGTCTTCACTTTGCACTCTTTCGTGTGCGTGTTATTGGAATGGAAATCAACATTACCATATATTTGTTTCATAATTAGGGTTGGAAGGAAAAAAAATTTAAAAAGGAAAATTGAAGCAAATGATTAGGTTACAGGAAAAATTGTTCAACTTAAGTTAAAAATGCTAATTGAATTCATTATTGAGAAAAAAAAAAGGAAGCTGAATTTAACATGGGAAGACTGAATTACCTGACTGGTACTGTAAATGAGAAACATCTGAGGGGCAAAAGCTTGAATGAACCGAAGGATTTTGGTCGATTTCTGGGAGGGCCGAGTGGCCGGAAATTGAGAACATACCATTGGAAGCGTCATTTTCGGTGCAAGATGAAGAAGAACCATATGAACAGGAGCTCGAGGACATAGGGAAATTATAGAAGGAGGGCGAAGAACCTGCTGAAGTAGTGTTTTCATACTGGATTGAATCACAACAGCCAGTCCACGGCTGAGTTTGTGGTTGTTCACCGCTGCTAAGACTGGCCTGAATTTGGCGCTGCCGGCGTCTGGACCTTGACCGACGGTTTTGGAACCAGTAGAAAACATTAGCATCACCAACTGCACCAAATTTCTCTAGCAGTTTTCTGATTCTCACTGTTTCCTCCTTTGGAGGGTTCACCATCCCACTGTTGAAGATGGACTCAAGTATTAGGATTTGCTCTGGCTTCGGCGTCCACCGGGATCGAACCGGCTCGTTTCTCTCAGTTTCCGAACCACCGCTGCGCCTACTACCGCTATCGTGGGCTTGATTTTCCATGGAAGGTAAAATATTATATCAGGCACAGACTCTTACGAGTAAAATATTGTAGAGATAAACTAATAGAACACAAGTCCATATCAAGGGTTAAAAGTATTTAAAGGCCAAGGGAGATGTCACCTTCCTAAAATTACAATACTGCCACTAAATGTGTCTGGTCTTTAGTCGGTAAATTTTAATTAAAATTATTCAACCTGAAATCGAAGTGCATTAATATCCTGTTTCAAGTCTTATCGTTATCCATTTATAAAAAATTTAGGCATAGTCAAATTTTATAGTAAACACAATTTAATCATGAGCACAAAGCAAAGAATATGTGATCAAGAATTAAAACTTAATATAAATAACTGAAGGTGCAGTTGCTGTACATCCTTAAATTAATTTTAACCACAATTTTATCAATTTTTAACCACACATTCATAAATTTTAATGAAATTAATCTATTAATATAAAATCCAGTAGTTGCAGAGGATGTTTATTTATTCCTTAAATGAAATATGGGATAATGCTTTTATAGCTAGCTAGTTGCCTATATATGTTATGTTAAATGCACAGATTAAGAAAAAAATTGTCTTAGCAAATTGAAGATGGACACTACAGTGTATAAAAGGGATACAAATGTATAGGCAAAGCATTGTTATTTTGATTATTTTAAAGTTTTGACTTCAAGTTTGGTTCTGCAAAAACATGCTGGTTTGCTAGCTATTCGAATTTCAAACTTCCATAAAGCATCTTCATGAAAGAGTGGGCAAGGGGGAGCCGCAAACATTGAAGTCAATTTTATGATATGCGTAGAATAATGATGATTGAACGAGCTCAAAAAAAGAAATGATGGATAGATTGACTTGACAGCAGTTGTTTGAATTCTTTTTAAAAAAAAATTTCAAACCGTCCAATCATGCGTCGACACGTCTCTTCCCTCGCTCCAAATTTTTTTGAGTCTATTTGTATAGCATGATTGATGCAGGGTAATAACCTATTAACCCACAAGTAATAGTTGGCATTAATTGGGGTAACTCCCCCATTGGTTTTGAGAGTGTGTGACTATTTCGTATAATTATTATTAAGACTTTCGGTTCCATTTTAAAAATCAATTTTACAAGTTTTTACAAGTTGGTCTATATTTTAATATTTATTCGATATGAGATTTTATTCATTAATATGCCTCGATAAGATGGCAACTCATTTGAGCAAACCAATCTTGAAATTCGTGTTCTCATAATTTAAGTCTTAAATGAATCGAATTGCTCGTTAGAAATTAATAGGCTCTAATATCATATAAGATTTGTGATTTCATATTAAAATGTCAATTTTATTGAGAGGAGTAACATAAACATTTATAAATTGATCTATATTTTCATTTTTATTTGATATGAAATTTTATCCCTTAAAAATTGTAAGTTGCCTAAATATACGACGTTGTAGCAAACAAAAGTCTGTAATTCAAGTCTCGTTAGATTTTAATGAAAAATAAATTTAACACTTATGTGAAGGGATGTATCGAAGCCATCTTAACTTGAAATTTCAGATGCAAATACCACTATTTTTCGGAGCTTGTTTGGGAGATAAATTTTGAAGTGAAAAATAATTCATTATTATTTTTTAGAGAACGTGGGGCTAAAAATGATAGAAAAAAATAATTTTCAAAAAAATACAATCCCTCGATTGTGTAAGTAGAAATGCAGTTTTGAGAGAAAAAATAAATGGAAATAGTACATGATTGACTGGATGTGGAAAGATGACGAGTTTTTAGGGTTTCCTCATGTGCAGGTTTTACATGGAAATCTGGAGAAACAGAATATGAAAATGAAGAAAAATCCAAACAATAATTTAATTGTTCTGACGTTAAATGGCAGACATGACTCACAGTTTCACACCCTCCTCTTCATACTGTCATTTATATTTTAAATAATAAACCAGAGAAGAATAGAGGGGTTTCAAAGGTTGGCTTAAACTTCGAACAGTTTTTCTCCAGAAATAAAATAATAATTACAGGTGAAAACACATGAAGAACCGACTTAATATTCCTTAGCCCCTGTTTGACACCCATTTTTTATCTCATTCTCATTCTCATTTTTCTACGGTACTCATTTCTAACTACACATTTTTCAAATAAAATAATATTACACATAAACCAAAAAATTCTTCTTACTTTTTAACCACATATTCTTTACATCAATCACTATTCAAAAACTCATTCTTTAAAATAATGGGTGTCAAACGGGGGCTTAATGAACGCGGTTTCTTGTCCCTCTATACTACTGCCTGCCTTCGTTTGTAAGAATTTAGAATTGCAGAGCAATGCACGCACTGCTACTTTTTGGCTGTTTCAGTTTGTGTTCTCCGAGAAATTTAGGCCCTGTTTGGGAGGGATTAAATTTTTCTACTATAAATTAATTCTCATTTTCAACCGCACATTTTTCAATAAAATAATATTTTCCATCACATCAATAATTTTTTCTTCTTTTTCAACCACA